ATTTATGAATATAAGAATCAGAATAGTAATTTACAATATGTATTCTAAAAGACATACAACAATTAATTTTTCATCATTCTCTAAAACTATATTCCTATCTTATTCACGTTTATCATTTTAACTTGCCTACCAATGCTGCTAGGAGTCCATAGGGGTCCCTACTATATGTGAATACGAGCATTCATTATATAATTAAACGGTCGTCCTCATACCTCGTCCAATAATGGCCATCAAAATACACAACCGTCTCAATACCCCGTCCGGTATAAGTATGATCAAAATAATTCTCAACTCCTTCCAGTATGGGACTTCTCAACCTCGTTCGACTGAGGGTAACGTCCATGGTAAGATTTATCCTATGGACTAAGTCCACACACTCTTTTTTAACACACCCGGTAAAACCTTTTATTCAACCACATTAGTTCATGCATTTTTTTTATTTACTATTTAGCACTACGAAGCTCGTATATCTATATCTCAACCACATGAGTGCACATTTTAGGATAAGTAAATGAAATAAGCATGCATTATATCGATAGTAACCAATTAAATGCAAAAGTGAATGACAAGATAAAATGTATAGAGAGACCTTACCGCATTCGTCGTAGAATTTAGAACAAACATTTTAAAGTAAACAGTACATTGAATAAATAGTATAATAACAACTTTAGACACTTTTACTGCAATTAAAAACTCAAATAGACGCAAATTAACCGGTTACTTGTTTCATTGGCAACCTGTACTTTAATCAATTAGAAGACTGCAGATTAACTAAATTTTTTGTTCATTTATCAATTTAGCATCATTTTTACTAGATAGAAAAAAGAGGTGATAGATTCTTACCTTAAGTCGATGTCCGGAGCACTCTTTTTTATTACACTTCTCGACGATTCCTTGTTCCTGAATTTCTTGAGTTTTTCTGTTAAAATCAAAACTTACGTCAAAATAATATGAAAATACGCAAAAAAAAATGGCCAAAAAGGCAAAAATCTCACTGGGAATCGGGTTAAGGTTCCAGTGGGGTAGTGCCACCGTGTTCCATTGTCAGTCCTCCTTTTCTGACGGCTCCTCCTCTCGGTCAAGCCAATTTCAACTGATTCTCGCTAAAAACTTATTCAATTCGTGGTTAGGAGATGTCTATTGGTGGAAAAAGAGAAAAATAATCGAGATTGTTTTCTGATCTTCAGTGCAGCGATTCAACCGAGCTCTGCCGCTCCTCCCTTGTGGCTCGTGACTTTTTTGGTTGCCCTGCATCAGAAGCAGGTTATGCGGTTAAGGGGTGGGGAAAATGGAGTGAACAGGAAGAGGATTCGACTTATTGGAGCATTTTTCAATTTCTGGTGCGACAGCTTAGCCAAGCTCTGCCCTCTGCTTCCTCGGGTTACGACCTTTCTTGGGATTTTTTTTTTACATTAAAGAGTGTTTTGAGTAGCTTAGAATGCAAAAACGGGATGAACGGGAGAAAATTGTACTTACTGAAGCAGATTTGGGTCTCTAGTGCAGAAGCGCCAGTGGTTGGGCTTCTCCTTTTGTCGTCCTTATTCTTCTTCTCCTGCGAGCAGGCGTGCGGTTAGGGTTAGGGTTTCTGGGGAAGAGGCGTTTAAATACTTTCTTACCCTCGATTTGGGTCGTCCATCTGGGTTTGCGTTGTGCCTCCTCAGTCGTCCGATTGCGCCTAAGAGGGGAATGAATTTAGGTCGTTCGATCAAAGATGTGTGGATCATCCAATCGCGCTTAATAAGGGAATGTATTTGGGCCGTTCGTGAGCGCAGGAGTGAGCACAGGCCGTTGGATCGCTCAGGCATGCGGATCGCCTGCATGACTCTAGCATAGAACCCGTGCTAGCATGTTTTCCACGCAACACGTTTTAATTCGTCGTGTTGCTGATGTGGCCGCATTTATTTTAGTGAAAAAATCTTATCAAATTAGATTCATGTGGGTCGAGCTAAGTGGATTATGCTTCAAAATGCCATTTGTAGCAAATGACATAAATAATTTGTAGCTAGATGACAATATACAAGGTGTAAATGATAACTAGTTACATATTGTGATAGTTTAACGTAAATGGTTATACATAAAAAATGATAACGAAGAACAATTTAATTGTTTTGCATCTTTAGGGAATAAACAGTGTATTTAATAATTGAAACTCTCTAAGGAAAATGTTAGAAGAACATCTAAGATGCTTAATTTCTTTAGCATGCTTGTAAGTGTGTTTATCTAAAGATATTTGATTTAAATTATAATTATTACATTTAGAATGAGTTATGTTATGATAGTCTTTTTAGGACACATGCATAATCTTTTTTTTTTTTTAATAAGTAAAGATATAAAATAGTATCATATGGGACTTCAAACTAGTTATCTTTCTCAAAGAAAATAGTAACCATTTCCTCACTTGTTCTTGGTGCTTGATAGTTAGAGTTGTTGGACTATTAGAAAAGTTTTATGTTATGTTTGGATTGATGGAAAGTGGAGGGAAAAGAGATAAAGAATGAATTCCCATCCTTAAAACTCTAAAGTTGTGTTTGATATATTGGAAAAATTTTAGTTTTTAATGTTTTTTTTTTTTTTTATACGAATTTAAACTCTATTTTTTTATATTATATTATTTCTTTATTTAACTCGAATGACATCTGTTTTTTTTTTTATTGAGTCGATGACTTGAGTCTGAATTTTATTTTTTATTTTATTAATTCAAAAAAAAATTCTAAATATAGCCTTTAGTATTTTTTAATCAATTAATTATTATTCATTTTGTATTAGTGCAATATATACTTGTATGTATGATATAAAATAGTGATATACGCGGAAAGAATTAATAAGATTTATTAATATGTAATAAAAATTAAATTATTTGTATCAAATTTATGGCTTGAATGAAATGAGAATTCACATAAACCATTATTTACATTTTTTATTAATCAGAAAACGAGCATCCCATCAAACAAACAAGGAAAATCAACAACAGAAGAAAACAAACCATTCTTTAGTTGGATTAAAGATTTCTAAGGGTAGTCTTGGGAGGCAGAAACTGGGGAATAAGACCCAATAAAGATATCACCATAAACAAGCCCAGCCAAAGCTCCACCAACTAATGGACCCAACCAGTAAACCCAGTTGTCGGTAAAGTCTCCGCTCACCACGGCTGGACCGAATGATCGAGCTGGGTTCATCGAACCACCGCTGAATGGGCCGGCAGCCAAGATATTGGCACCCACGATGAACCCGATGGCTATTGGTGCGATTATACCGAGTGAGCCCCTTTTTGGGTCTGCGGCCGTCGCATACACCGTGTATACGAGAGCAAACGTTATTACTATCTCCATCACTACTCCTTCCAAAACACTCATCCCCGAACCAACTGAATGCGTTGGAACACTCTGTAAATTTTTTTAAATTATAATTAATTTTATAAGTAATCAGTAATTATATTTTAAAATAATTAATTGGGAAAGTAAAAAAGTCAAAAGTTACCAAGTCTGTGACAAATTTGAGGAGGCCGCAAGCCACAATGGAGCCAAGGCATTGAGCAATCCAATAGAAAAGGCCGGTGAGGAGGGTGATGTTGCCGCCGATGGCCAATCCCAAGGTGACAGCTGGGTTCAGATGTCCGCCGGAGATGTTGGCGGCTATCGCCACTCCGACAAACAGTGCAAACGCATGAGCCACCGCTATTGCCACCAGTCCTGCGGGGTCCAACGCTCCGTCCGACGTCACCTTCCCTGCAAACGCGAAGAAAAATACATTTGTTCTGTTCTTAGTTAAGCGTTAAATCTTAATTATCTATTTTTATGAAAATATAAAAATACCGTCTGATTTAGATGTTAAATATTATAATAAAGTTTTAATACAAGTAAAAATTTGAAATTCAAATGTATTGAAATTTTTTGTTTGTAATTTAATTTTGAACCCATTTGATCATATTTTGACATAATTTATCTTTTAGTTCACCAAATTAATCTTTCAATTAAAAAAATAAGTGTGCAATTTTTGGTCATTTATAAAAAAAAAAAAAAATTGTATTTTATCAAATATTTTATATTTTTTAGCATGTTAAACTTTAAGTACGTAAACGTAAAATTCAGATTTCATAATATTTTTTATAGAAAAAATTAAAAACTAAATAAAATTAACTGACAGAAATTCAAATAAATTTAATTTACTAAGCTTAATTAAAGCACAATTAAATTTATAATTACCAAAAGCAATGGCAGATCCAACACCAGCAAATACGAAGAGAAGAGTAGCGATGAATTCAGAGAGATAAGCCTTGAGAGACCCAACACTGAAGGAGTCTCCAAAACTTCCAAGAGCTATCTTCACCATTTTCCCTTCTCAAACCCACTTAAACTCTTATCTCTCTCTCTCTCTCACGTTTCATTGACACTACGCACACACATACATATATATATACACACACACGCTCGTAGACAAGTACATATAGAATGATATAGCTAAACTATAATGTATAACAGATGGGTCATAGCCGGCACCGACCATGGACCCACATCAGCTCGCGACCACCGTCTGATTGGGTGCCGACCAACCGCCTACCATTTGATTAATTAAACTTAATAGTATTAATTACATTAATGATGAGCATAAGACAGCCAACTTAAATAGGGATTAGTGAAAAAGATTAGACAGCACATCACACAATTTTAAATTAATCTATGGGTATAACAGACTTCATATAGAATATTATCATAATTAATTTATTTGGTACATCACATTGTCTGATCTCAATTAGTTTCCTAATTGTGGATTAATATAAAAACCCATAAAGAAATTAATATATAAAGTTTAGTGGACTTTAGAATAAGGGTTTTGTGTAATGGACAGATTGAAAAGAAGTAATGTTAATTAATGTTTAAATTTAAATAAGAGGTGGTTGGTATCCAATATATTTTATGTACATATATATATATATATATGCACGTATTAAATTTAAGTCAATACTCCAAAAAGATTTTTAATTGAAATATTTTAGTTCCAATCTAATCATTGCTGATTATTATTATTTTTTTTTTTGGTATTATTATTATTTTTTTGGATCCAAGTGGAGGATATTATCATATCTTTTATTAATAAAATTTAATATAATCTACCTTTAATTTAGTCATTATCATTTATTAATTTCAAATAATCAAACTTTAAACATGGCTAATTTGTCCTAATCCAATTAGAATGGGGAGGGGAAAAAAACCATAATTAAAGTGGTACATAATGAATATAAATAAAAAATAAAAAATTATAAATTCAAAACATATATATTGTGTGTATAAATTTAATCAATTTTTCTATTATGTCACATTATATCTCGTTATATGTATAAGTAATAAATATTTTATTTTATTTTTTAATTTTATTAATAAATATTATTCTATATTTATTATTGAATATTTTATTTAAATAATATTTTATTTTAATTAAAATTTAAAGTAAATTTATTTAATTATTTAAATATTATTTTATAATATTTTTTAAAATTGAAAAAAAAAAGGATAAATGGTACAAAAAACAAGTATAAAGTTTTATCCTTAAAGGAATGATGGGTAAATATAAATTTATATTTTAATTGATAGAATCTCGAATTCCTTCAACACTTATCTTTAAATTCATATTTTCGCGGATGAAATTATCCCGTCATTATCATTTAGTAATTAATATCAGTTTATAATTTTTTTTTTAAAATATGATTATGAACATAGATGTTGTAGCTAATAATATGTTATTAGAGATTAACAAATAATTATATCAATAAAATGCCTTGATAGAATATGCTTTTGGGTCTTGCAATTATTTTAATAATTTTTGTTTCTTTATTTTTCATAATTTAAAATCATGTCAAATTTCTGATGGAATGTGTACCTAACATTTATTCCTTCCTCTTAGAAGACTTAATTTTATAAGCCTCAACCTGCATGCAAGTATTTAAAAATATTATAACAATTTTTTTCAAAATATATATCTTAATAATTGATTTATTGAACTATTTTCTGAAAAATATACTTCTAAATTTACAAAATTTATTAGCCAAACATATATGTATAATAATTTATTAATGCACAAACAATAATAATAAATTTTTTGAGTATATTAAATACATATATTTTATGAATTGGATGAGACATATACACACTCTTGTTTAAAATATATATATATATATATAAACAATTAATTCGACTTGAATTCATAAAATTTTTTATAGAGGGATAAATGTACGAACCTTAAGGTTTAATATTATAAAAGTTGGTGGATTGTAAATATCATCAAATTTAATTAAACCAGGTTACATATAAAGAAAATTAAAAATGCAATTTCCATTAAAATCTTTTTTCAGTAGATTTAAACTTTAAATTTCTTGTGGATTTAATTAATTTTCTTATCATTTTGGAAGAGAAGCTGAGGAGATGCAATTAGAAAAATTTTGACTGCAATTCAGTATATATAAATATATGGTTTGAGAAGCTTGGAAAAATCTTAATGTGGGTTTGTAAAAGTTTTGATTGTTTAAACGATTTGGAAAGAAATATAAGTTGCAAAACAACATGATTCTTGTTTACATAACGTGCATGGAAACTATCTAAATTGTCCATCCACCAGTGGGCAGACAAATGAATTTGTTAGCCAATCCAAAACGAACAAGTCTACTCTCCTATTTATCCACCTATCTGGGATAAAGATATTTGTCCGTGCACCAAGGAGAATAACATACTTGAAAAAATTATATATACGATAACAATAATATGTTCTAAGCTATTATTATGACATCCAAGGTACTCTATGACACATACATCACGTTCAAACACCTTGTTTATGATGTAATTCAAATTAGATATACTCTATGCATTATAATCCTTAAGTTTAACTAACAAAATATTCGTCATTCAATTTACAATTCCACTATATCAAGATAATAGATGAAAGAAAAAGAATTCAGGAAAGGTTTCTATTTATTATAAGAATATAAAATGAATGGACGTCTTGTACAATCCAGTAAACATTCATCTTTCTATTTACTCGTTTCCTCTGGGTATGGTTCCATGAGTTGAGACTTTGGTTCCACCTTTAGTATTTACTGCATCTGCAAATGACATATAATCTGCGCCTTTTAATCCAATAAAATAAATTCAAAACTCAAACATGGTATAGAAATACATTTGAGCATCTAGCCCAGTATTACATCTACCCTACATCCTCACACCCTTCTCGCCACACCCTCCCTTTCTAACCCTATCCTACCATTCTTGGTTTTACTCTAGTTCTAGTTCTGCCCCAACACCACCCATATACGTATACCCCCACTACCTACACTACCTCCAACCACCAAATGCTCCTCCGACACTAGTTTGGCATACACGCCCACTCACCAGCCTCAATTTAGCCACACACACATCCCGACCTTTCAGCCACACATACACCTTATCGGCCTAGGTTAGCCATACACACCCACTCAATTTCTGCCACTCCACCTTCGGCTTCACTCATCCACACACACCGACCTTTGCTCGACCACACATGCACCCACATCAGCAATATACAGCCGCACACACACACTCGATTCCTGCCACTCCACCATCGGCTTCATTCAGCCACACACACACTGGTGTTTTTTTAGCCACACATGCACATATACCAATAATATACATCCGCACACCCACACCCTAGCCCTCCTTTGGCCACAAGCACACCAGTAGTACACTGCCACACACGCACACCGACCTTTCTTTAGCCACACATACCGGCAGTACCCTGCTACACATACACCGACCTTTCCTTGGCCACACAAACTGATAGTACACTGCCACACACACACACACACCGGCCTTCCCTGACCACAAATACGCACACATCGGCCTACTTTTGGCCACACACACACACAACAACAACAATATACACACACTACACTACTGTAGTAACTGAAAAAAAAAGTGGGGAAAACGACGTCGTTTTGAAAGGGGGAAAACAACGTCGTTTTGAGGAAGTTGGTGGGATATAAATAGGGGACGGGAAAGGAAAGAAAGAGGGAAGAGAAGAAAAAAAAGAAAGAAAAGAAAA